GACATTAAAAGATTTTTAAGCTTTTCCTAACTTACTAATGTCAAATATAAACCAATGTGGACGAAGTCACTAGCTTATACTCTTTATACAAAAGGTGATGCTAAAAATGCAGGCACTTGTCCAACTCACGACTCCAAGCACCTCGGCACCGAATAACGAGGTAGGGGATAGAGACAGTCTAAAATTTTCTACTCGGTTAGAATAAACTGAAGCAAAAGAATCCACCCAGACAGCCTGTGTTTTAAATTCTGGCCAAGGAATTTAGAATGATAGATGGCATGCCGCAAATGAAACACAAACTTCACAAAGTGAACCATAATGTTATAGTTTCTTTTCAATTTAGTAGACCATTTTAAATTTCTGTGATAGAAGAATTCAATTAAGTTTCATAAAACCTTATATTAAAAAAAATAAATTACTGAGAATGCAACTCAAAAAAAGATCGTATAGATATTGTATTATTAGTACGTTAGTACTAATCAAATCGATAAATAAGTAAATATTTGGAAAATTGATTCAACCTTTATCTTTTTTACAGCCCTTTAAGTAGATAATTAGGGGTTTAATCGCCTCCCAGAGCGATCTCTCGTCGGCTTAGCAAAAAACGGTTCAACTTAAAATATTTAGGTTCGTTTTTTGCGCAGCATCCGCGATAGATCGTTAGCTGAGATGACTGGTATCTGACAAACAAACGGATTGTTTGCTTGTCTATCGTGTCGTGACAATGTGATTTATTATAGGCTGACGAGTACAGTCCACTGTGATAGTCACAGGACTTTGAACTCTCTGTCGTTGTAAAGTCTATGCATAATTTAACTGGTAGCATTAGAATGTGACCGTCGCGTCGTGCGATGCGTTAAGTGGATGATGTGTAGATAAATGTAGGTCAATCGTTCAGTACACCCTGATTATGATTACAATCCAGCTTGATTACCTTTCTTGGCAAATACACAATTTCTATTGCCGTTTGATAGCATAACTTATCACTAGATTAAATAGTTATTTGAGGGTTAGTCCCAACGGCCCCGGTGGATCTGCCCCGTCAACGGGGTGGATGGGAAAAAGTGTTTCAACGACCCCGGTAGTCATAGTCTTAGCTATACTCTATAGCTATGACTACCGGGGTCGTTGAAACACCTTTTCCCATCCACCCCGTTGACGGGGCAGATCCACCGGGGTCATTGGGACTAACCCTTATTTGATTAATATTTCTTAGTCGCAGAATTTAATTTACCTATATGCGAGACTTGTGTTAACCCTATATGCGTTGGTAACCAACGTTCTGTAAAATAGTGATTACTTACTAATTTATTGTACAAGCTGCGTAATATGAGTTCAATAGCATAAAACAATCGCCGGGCGATACGTGCGGTAACGAGTTTGCCCAGGAGCTAGCGCCGTTTCCCTCAACACTTGCTCAAACAATAGCCGACTACAATCAAATAACAAACAAACGCACAGGAATGTATTATAATAGAATAATATCGAACTCCTTTTAACCCTCAGTAAGTCCATGTTACACAAAATACCTAGGACGCTGTTTCGGTAATTTTATTTTTGTTATTATTTACCGCTATTGAATTTGGCAAAATTGGCGAGACGTCGTAAGGCGAGCAATAATCCACACTCCTGACAACCACCACCACTCTGTCAAGAGTGCAACGACTAAGAAGAAGAAGATTATAATTTATGTGCCTGTTTGGTTTCCATAAAAAACAACATTGATATGCAACCAAGTGTGAAGTTTATCTAAAAACACCATTAACTATATGATTTACAATGGATCGTTTTAGAAAACATTGCGATAAAATTACACTTTAACTTATCGTACATGTTGGATCATGTTTAACAACCTGTCAGCTTACGGAGGGCCAGTTTACGACTTATTCTCGCGCGCCCTGCGTACTATGGGAACGACTTCGAAATCAACAGTTCTATCGGAAAAGTACAGGGGCGTAGCTACCGCCGTATCAATGATACGGGGCCCCGGACTGCTGGGGCCCAGGGTACCACTGCCACTTTGCAGAGAAGACAATTGCTGGGGGCCCGCACGAAGGTGAAGGAAGGTAAGGATAATTGCTTGTCAGAGCCCCGTTTGGTCGAAAAAATTAAGACCAACAACTGTTGAAAAGTTCTATAAGAATTTTCCAATTAAGACGTACCTACCTCTTTTTGGTAAAATTTTAGATGAAAAAAATTGTGAAATGGGCCTCTTGATCCTGAACCACCTATTAAAGATGAAATTGAATGAAAGGATGATGGGCACTTTTCTATGGAATCTGGGCGTAAAACCAACAGAAATGTAATTACTATTATTTGTTAGGACTTAGTATCAGAAATATTTTTTCATATAAATAACTACCAAAAACTCCCGGGTTTGCTTGGAAATTGACATAATGTATAATAGTCATAGGTGTTTTATTGCGCAAACAAAAAATATAATCAATTAATATACCTACATTGATACATTAAGTTATTTATCAATTATTATGTCCAACAGTTAAGGAGTGGGGCCAACAAATTGTATAAAATAAGTCCATGTTCTAGGTACATTACGTGCGTAGGACCACACCTAAGTACTCGTAGGTACCATTTAGAGAAATGAAATGAACACAGTCATGTTCAATGGGATTTCTACCAGTTAAGCTTTAGTGTTGTCGCATAATCGATCACGGATCGATTATTAATCGATATTGCCAAATAACGATTTATCGATTAACAATTCGATTAATCGATTTTATTTATTACCATCATTACAATCATTTGATTTTATTAATTCAATTCCTTATTTTCAACAATATAATCGATTATTTCAATCGAATAATCGATTATGAGTTATTCGGTAAACATACTTACTAAATCGATAGAATCGATAGTAAGATATGATACAATACTCTCAATATGATCGATAAAAGCAATCTAATTGACCTAATACTATTTTTATTACCCTAATGTGATGTGAAATACTATAGAAACTTTGCATATTCAACGACCTCTATCTCCGTATCCCCGCGTATTTCAGGATTGTTGTCATACTATGAAATGAAGTACTAGTATTGAGCTTTAATTTAGTATACTTTTTGTTTCTGTTGGTTTAACGCCCAATATGCCCATCATCCTTTAAGTCCAAAAAAATTTTGGTTACAGGGCCCGTCTAAAGCAAGCTACGTCACTGCTTCGAAATCAACAGTTCTATTGGAATGGTAACAAATCGGGGAACAGTTTTATGTGCCATAAATCTCGAAAGCACTAATACTTCGCCAGTCACGGCAGAGTTGGCTTCGACGCCATTGTAAGCTCTATCGCCTACCAAATGTTACCTGAGCTGCTGTTCAACAAAGAACTGTGGTATAGGCTGTCCTCCATTGTTTCGTTACGAGCAAAATTTACTTTAAATAGCAATAAAATGGCAATACAGTGTGAGTCACGTTAAAGTGTACATATGAAAATAGATGAAACTAGACCTATTTTTATCGACAAAAAAGAGGTCAAAAATTTTTTGAGATTTTTTTTATTTTTTTATAGAATTTTTTNCGTGACTCACACTGTATAAAGAGCAGGCTGTTTTTCTAATTAGTTCTTATTTCAAGAGCCAAAAAGTCCACTCTAGATTGTTAGTAGGTAGGTCTATCGAAATAGAAGATGTACGGTCTAAAGTGTCCTCGGTGGCGGATGTGGTTGGATGTCTAGCAGTTGTCCTATACACCGCAGTACTATCGAATTACTATTACGTCTTATTGTTTTCATTAGATTAAACTATTATTAACTTCATTTTATACGTAGCATGAATAATACAAATTATGCAACTTTAATAAAGTGTTAACATCTACCTCTAATTTTATTACAAGCTTTTTATTATATCAGTTACTGTTGAAATAATTACTTACCAAAATACTTCATTACATTACAATTTATTGTTACTACTATCGTAATAAATACAGTAAAGTTAATTACTAATACCAAAATTAGATTTCTTACTGCAATTTATAATTAAAATAATTTGATTAGCAGCATTGCGTATTTTGATTTCAACAAAATAATTTATAGAAACGAGTTTCTAACTTAGCGGTCAAGAAGTCATATTAACACTCGTAATGTGAGAGCACTAAATATCTGTATAGAGGTTATGAGAATCAAACTGCGGTTACCTTATTATCATTATCAAAGTTCGACGGTTGGCCCAATTTCCCTCACTTTTACTCATTCTTTAGAAGGCGTGGATGTACGTGTTACCTTCTGTGTACAGACAAGTTAACAGACTACACATTTTTGTTGCAAAACCACTCTTATTGCCACTACATAAGATTCCTCAGTGTTTAGCTTCATGTGCTGTCAGTACGTGGTACTATGATGTGTGTGCCGATGGCTATTCCGGGCAATCAAAATATTCCTGCGCCGCTTTCATTTTTGGCCGTCCAATAATAAACAGAATGCGCCGGATATTTGGCTTTTTCTCGACGTCCCGAAGATTGATTTTATTGGTTATGGACGATTTTATGATGCTTAAATTTTAAAGAGCCCTTGTGATGTATTATAATACCGGTAAGAATAATATATTGGCTCTAAGTAATTGTGGTTCGAGTATAGAGTTTGTAGACTATTTGTCAAGAAGCATGATATTAGATGCTAGTGGAATCAAACTAGTTATCTCTTCATTGTGGCATGGTATTTCATAACCCTTTTCTTAGGGTCTACGAGCAGGCCTGCTTTATTTTGATTATTGCTGTATTTGAAATTGCCAAATAGGGCCTGTTTTGGGAGTGTTAGGATTCTCTCCAAGAGATAGCCTATAGATAGCTAAAGATCACCTACCATTTGTTGAGGATGCCTCGGCTTGCAGTGCGCTCGAGGCACCTTTAAGCCTGTCACTGTCTCCAGTACATCGGCCAGCAGCAAGCTATTGGCAAAATCCTTCGCGATTCCTCTCAAAGAAGGAAATTTACCTAGCCAGTATAATCTACAGCTTCTAATAGTTACGGAGTAAATCAAGGAGTGCTTACCATTTGCTGAGGGTTCCTCGGCTTGCGGTGCGCTCGTGGCACCTTGAGGCCGGTCACTCCTTCCAGTACATCTGCCAGCAGCAGGCCATCGGCGCAGTCCCTCGCGAGTCCTCCGCCAGAAACGCCCGCGCGGCGCCTCGAGCGCGCCCGCTCCAGGTAATGGTTGGCCCAGTCTGTGTAGATCTGTGGACAATGAAGATAGAGTCATCAGTATTCTTCTTAGGTATAATTATATTTATTGGGTGGGTTGTTATAACTCGAATGTGGGAAAATAATTAGTGGTTATGCGTTTTGTATATTAAAAAAACATCTTTAGAAGGGACCCAGAAAGCGAAGACGCTGGTGGCTCAGTCAAGTTGACTGAAGTTTGTTAACTAGGGCACCACAAAACGATTTTAGACACAACTTCTCGAGCTTGAAGTTAATGGCACAAAATAATTAAGAGACGCAATTAATCGTGTATGTAAGTATAGTATGGTTATTAACATAATGAAGAAATTATTGAATCGGTTAGTTATAGGAGAGTCAAGCAAGAGGAACGCCCAGACCGTGTACGTTCAAATAACAGTTAGAATTTAGCAATTATGTTTTTGATAAATTATAATTAATAAAGCATAAGCTTGCTACTTTCTACTTTCCTAGTAATAATGGATAAAACACCATCGTTTAAGTCGTAGTCATAGTTCTACGAAATGGGTATTTACCCAGGGTTTGTATTCACTGGCCTCGGCATTAAAACATATGTCTAATCAGACTCCAAAAGAATAAGGTGAAGGCCGAATCTGTCAGACTATGATGAATGGCTGTGTAGACGGCTGTATGACTTCGAACACGTGTGTACTAATATTTCAAATCGCACAGCGTAACACCGCTAGAAAATATTAAATGTACTCGTATTGTGATAATAACGGCAGTATTTAATGTTGCATTGACTTAGATTGACAGCTGAGTATTTTATAGACATGTCAGTAGATATAATTTAATATCGCTTTATGTGGTCCACGTGTTTTTGCTTAATTACAACTCTTCAATCTAAAAAAAATTAAGTTATTTTAATCTACAATTGTTAATTTTCATGCTTTTATTTATTTAGTTTTACCTAATTTAAACGGTAAGGCCGCTTTAATTATGTCTTCCAAACTTCCTGAGATTGTCACTTTTAGGAGGATCTGAATAGGATTGCAGGTTATTAGTATAGTTGCAAATTGTCTCTTATTAACGCTACATTAAGTGCTATAGTCAGCAAGTAATACACTGTCTGTACAATAAAGCATTCTTTTATCAGAATCTCTCAACTGGCGCCTCGAAGGTGCGTAACACATTGACATAACACGCATATTTCAATCGATCTTATGCCCGTTCAAAAACAACTACCGATTGTTTACCCCGTGTCAGGCAACAAAGTAAGCACTTCCAGGTAAAGCCATCAACTGAGTTCACTGAGATGGGGTGTTGATAATGCGGGAATGCACGTTAAACTTTACGACAATACCTAAGGAGAAGAGATCGAGATAAAACGTTAAATAAATATTCGTCAAAAGTCGTACAACGGAGTTTTATTGCAGCTTAATGGCTGTAATAAGTTTAATTCGTAAACCTCTTGCTCAACACACATTGCAAAACAATTCAAAGATCGCATAGAAATAAAGAAAAAAATCTCAGAAGGGTGAATATTTCCACTCAATAACACTTGAACGATGATACAAATTATTCAAGTAGGTAATGTAGAATTATGATGGTAAAATAAATTTAAATAGGTCCATAGTTTCGAAGTCTTTTCAATGCAAACAAACAAACAATCAAATCTTTCCTCTTTATGATATTATTGTAGAGTAGACAACTGTATGCAGGTCAGCATATGACCGCCGGAGAGAGTTCCAATCTAATCTACATCGGTTAGTAGAATGACGTAATAGGTATTTTAATATGTCAGCAGTATAGAATTCCTTAAAGGATTAAGTCACACTCGTCAGTTCTAGGAGAATGGGGGCAAGTGGTCCCTGGCGACTGTCGGCCGCCGGCTCTGTCAGTCTGGATGTGCCACTCTCTCGTCTTACTCGCTAATGGATTTAGAAGTCCCATTTGATGGGCACTAATGGGTCTAGGTATGTTGCAACGTTTTTCAGTCTTCAAAGCGCATGTAAGAATGTTTCATCTTTTCTTTTCGTTTCTTTTTTGAGAGAGACACATCTGAGAATGTCATACCAAAGTTTTTACTGCTCTTTATAAAGCTATTGAATATGGTGCTAACATACATGATCGAGATTTAATCTCTAAAGTTTCTTTTTCTCAAATAAAACCTCACTGGAAGATCTTCATCCAATGAATATTTTATCATATCTCCTTTGAGCTTCGAAAAAATTCAGTCACTTGTATGACGAATATATTCATGACATTATAATAAATCAATGCCCTGATTTTATCACGTAATCGAACTCGTTATTTAATAATCATGACGTATAAGTGGGTGATTCTGATAAAAGGCCGATGCGTCTCAATTCGTCTGTTATCAGATATCTCACGGCAGTTTATTCAAATCGGCTTCAAATAGCTTTAGATGGTAATAAATCCATTCGGTCTGACATTTTTATCGTATACAAAGTACATGCATTAGATCGATATAACATCCTTTTCTATTGATGGCTCGGGCATGGTGGAATCTGATCATCTGATGTTATTAAATGCGTGTTTCAAAAGGGAAATATATTGAGCTTTTAATTAGTCGCCAGGCAATTTTAAGGCTGACCTTGCACCACCAAACTTTGACCGTAACTATAACGGTAACCGGTGTTTTTTGTATGATGTTTGACAGATTTTTGTCGTTTGTTAAAGTTAAAGTAAGATGGTGCAATTCATCCTAAGTATTTCATCAATGATGAGGTTATTCTCTTAGCTGCAATATCTGAAAGTTATGCTTCATTTGCGAGTTGAGGTCTGAAATAATTAATTAACCCATCTTGTTGCGTACGCATTACCAGTACAAGCGGGGAGAACGGGTTATTTGCTCCCCACAAACACAATTTACGCTTACAATGTGCCGTAAGTTTGGCCTACCCGAAACCCGAGCAAAATAAACAAATCAACTTTATAGTACGAGAGCTAGAGATGCAAAATGCTGAATTTATCCATAATTAATTCTACTATCGCATTTACCTTAAATTATTTTAATGCTGTGAATTTTTTTTTTTTTTTTAAAAGATTATTAGCAATTTGTATTGCACAAATTACTAATAGTCCCGCTAGCCCCTCGTGGTAAGCTAAATAAGCTTGTGTTACGAGTGGACTCACCACAATAGTCGAGCGGCGGTGGGATTCGAACCTGCATTCCTCGGATCTCGAGTCGGCCACTCCGACTCTTTCACCGTTCGGCTATCGTGGCTATGAAAACATAACTAGCTAAATGCATAATAATGATAGAATGTTTTCTATCCTTAGAAAAATATCAATAATTATTGAGGCAAAATACATTTTGATGCAAAATCGCCTCTATTACTTAGTTTATAAAGAGGTCACCTCGTTTAACATGTTATCGTCTTTAAGAGGCCTCATGCAGCATTTTTTTTTATATCAGATTAGATTTCTAAGAAAACAAAACCTGAGCAATTTAAAAAAAAATTACCCTGGATTGGCCCAACCAGTTATTGAACTTGGACCCCTTGCATTTATAAGACGATTTATATCGCACCGCTGCATCTTTGGGTCGTTATAGTCTACCGATATACTTATATGAGACGGCACAATTTTGTTAGAGGGCTTTAAATCTCAGAAAGCCATGATAACAAAATATTAAGCCCTTTAACCTAGGTTTTATAGTGTGAATTGGATAGTTGAGCATACATCAGTATAAAACTTGCAATTTTGTTGCAAAACCTCGATAAACCGTCGTCCGTGCCAGCTTAAGATATTATACTACTTACTAAGCATTAATTGGTCAGTTGTTATTGACACGGACTATTAATATTACTGTCTGAGTATGAATATTAATGAATGACATAATAATTAATATTGATTCTCAGGCAGTACCGGGCTCTTGGACTAACAAGCGTTTGGTCCGCACGTCCGTATTCCCCAAACGCTTCAGCTCGGATTGTTTTCATAAAACTTGCACGCTGGATTAATTTTTGGATACATTGTTAAATGTAGCTATTTTTAATGTGGGATATTAAATTTTATGCAAAATAATATGCATGCATGCATTTTGGCCTTAATGAAACTTATTTGCACACATGGCATTAAAATATGCGGCCAGTTAACACACCGTGATGAGGTTTTATTTAATTATTTATTATTTATTAAAAAATTAATATCCCATCTAATTCGTGTCATCAACCCACTCAAGTTCAATCAAGATCGTGTTCAAAGTATAGTCGCCAGCCAAGAAAGCAATAACGGTATCCTTCGAAGTACGAAAACTCATTTCTCAGAAGAAATTCAGTGCAATTAGCAAGTAATAAAGGAGAGATCAGCTAGAGGAATTCGTGTCATTAAAAAATATTGCGCCAATTGGTTCATATACATTAATAGCGACGCCCAATGACCGCCAATGAAGACACTTGCATGGCTGACCTGTGCTCTGTGGTCAGATTCAGACAGTGTAACTTGAGCTTTATTTTGATTAAATGCTTCATTCAACACATGTTCAAATTAAAGGCTGTAGTAGGTTATTAGGGACTTAAACCATTTGGAAGTTTTTGATAGAACCACTGTTAGAACAGATAGTTAAAACAATCTTATTTGCGATATTATTAAGGCTTGATCTATTTTTTTTATGCAACGTACACCTTGACTGCAATCACACCTGATGTTAAGTCAAATTCAGTCTAGAATGGTACATACCTGCCCTGGAAGTGCCTATTCACTCTCGCCTTAAAGATGCCCGGATCAAAATTACTTTTTACTATATTATTATGTTTAGTTTTTACTTCAATGTACAGTCGCGGAATGAAAAGGTTCGTCACCTTAGTGTCGGTTTTCGCTTGCAGTAGGTACTGTAAGAGTCAAACCTGCCAACATAACCGTGCAAGAAACAGTGCTGCTAACATTTAAATAAATATGACGTTTGCTAACGAATAAGGTTTTGCTTGTTTATTTTTCTATCCCATCAGTGCAATGTTACAAAATGTAGTTTTTTTTATTTAATAGATAATGGCAGGTTGAACCAACAAGAAGGTTTTAGTTTATCA